AGCGTCGGGGAGCTCTCCGCACAGTCCATCATCTACGAGGTGTCCGTTGTTGCCTTCATGGTAAGGTCTGAGCGTTGTTAAAGATCAGGCTTCCATAGGAAGAGTCTCACTACAGGCTCCAGCAAACTCAGGTCCCCTCTCTTCCTGCTCTGCGCTTCAGCCGCCCCTGCCTGTCCCTCTGTGGATACGTTTTGTATTTGCCCCCAGCCTCCTGCCCCTGCTCTGATGGGCCCCCATTTCGCTGTTTCTCTGTTCCGGTACCTCCGGGGCTGGTGTCCCTCAGCCGCGTGAGTCACCGCCAGCGCTCTGTGCTTCCAGATCCCCCTAGGGCTCGGCACAGCCGCCAGCGTCCAGGTGGGCAACGCGCTCGGCGCCGGGGACGCCGAGACGGCCAAGAGATCCTCCTCCACCTGCCTGCTCTGCACAGGTGAGGTGGCCGGAGCGACGGCCCGGCCCCGGCTGCTGCTCACCCCATGCACAACGTGCCCGGGTTATCCTTTAACACCATCTGTGCCACGCCGTGAGGCGGGCGCAGGACCAGCCTCCTCCTCTTCTACTGCCCTCCGCAACGGGCTCAACCCCTTGCTGTTTTTTCAGGAGGGTTTTGCATAGCAGTGGGGGCCATTTTAGCAGCCACGAAGGATGTGCTGGGCTATATCTTTACCAGTGACAAGTGAGTGCTCTGGCTCCCGGCCCCAGCACACATGGAGCAGCAGCCAGTTCCCCAAAATAACCCTTACCTCTTCTCCATCCCAGGGAGATCATTGCCTTGGTGGGCTGGGTCATGCCTGTCTACGTCGTCTTCCACTTATTTGAAGCCATGTGTGTAAGTCCTCGGGGGTGCTGTTACATTCAACAGGGGACCTTACCCAGCCCAGGTGGACGTCCCGAGATGGCGGCGGCTGGCTCCAGTGCCTCTCCTGCTCTCCTCCCTCGCAGGGCGCCTGCAGCGGGGTGCTCAGGGGCATCGGCAAGCAGAAGTTCGGCGCCATCCTCAACGCCATCGCATACTACGGCCTGGGCCTGCCCCTGGGAGCCGTGCTCCTCTTCGTGGTCAAGATTGGCGTCATGGGTACCGCCCGCAGCACAGGGGACGCGGCCTCCCCG